GAGGAGGAGGAGGAGGAGGAGGAGGAGGAGAAAAGGAACGAAGGGATTCCAATAGCTCCTATAGTTTAAGTGTAAGATATTCCCACCTCCTACTCTCTCGCAGCAATTTACTAATTAGGAAGGAAAAGTCCAGAATGTTGTGACTCACTGTTCTAGTTAGAGTTTCTGTTGTGACAAACACCATGACCAAAATAAGGAGAAAAGGGTTTATTTCATATTATAACTATCAGGTCATACTCCATCACTGAGGGAAGTCAGGACAGGAACTCAAGGCAGGAATCTGGAGACAGTAGCTGATGCAGAGCCCATGGAGGGGTGCTGCTTACTGGCTTGCTCATCATGGCTTGCTCAATTCACCTTCTTATAGAACCCAGGACTACCAGCCCAGGGATGGCACCATCCACAGTGAGTGAGGCCCTCCTCCATCAATCACTAGTCAAGATAACACCCCACAGATTTGCCTGCAAGCCACTACAATGGAGGAATTTTCTCAATTAAGATTCTCTCTTCCCAAACATGTCTAGGTCTGTGTCCAAAGAAAAACAGCAATGAACAGCTTACTCTCCTTAAGTGAAATGCCAGCCTTTTAATTCTTGATAAGTATTACATATAAATATATACACTATAATGTTCATGCCACAGCTACTATGAGATTTAAATGGGAGCAGCCCATAATTATCTAAGATGCACTGTTAGCTCAGAAACATGCACATGCCAGACTGTGTCTAATCCATAAATGTTGCATAAACATAATGGGAAGAGAGCTTTCTGTGTGCCAGCTATTATTCAAAAACCAGTATTCACACTCCCACCATAAAGTAGCCATCATGACTGTGGTATTGTACAGTTGAGGAACAGGGTGTTGCCCAGAGAAACACAGCAAGGAAGTAGTCAGGACTTAAAACCAGCATCTCTGGGCTCTCTTGTCTGTGCTTCTCACTGTGATGGACACTCACTTGCCAGCAGAGTGAGGTGGTGTTCATCTGGGGACCAGGAAGGATTCGGTCACTGTGAAATACTTTTTCATCTAACTTGACTGGATTTTTTTTTAAACCAAGTGGTTATGTCTTCAAATTGGAATTTGTCAGGCCAAGTAAATACGTCAGCAAACTGATAATGTCTAATTTTCTTACTGTGTAGTGCATGCTCTAAAGAGGCAAAGATGTGTCCCCAGAATCGGGGGAGGGCAGGTAGTGTCTGCTTCCAATTCAGAGGAAGGTTTAGAAACATTAGCTTTATTATAACTATAATCAGAAAGTAGGGGAAGTGAAAAATAGGAAGGCGTGGCAGTCACAGTGAACTGACCTTAAATGTGACCTTGGCTGTTATCCCAAGTATTACCCAGAGGTTTTCCTATGTAATAGAGGCACCTAAAATTAAAGCCATATTCTGGATATTGACAGTAACCACCCAGTTGGTCTGAGTTCAATTTTGAGGAATAGTCATGGGGTTGGAATCTCTTCTCTTGTAGCATCAGTAGGGAACTTCAAGATGACTGCAAACTTTGCTACCAAAAAAGAGAGGGAGGAAGGAAAGAGGGGAGGAAGGAAGGATGAGGGGAAGGGGGAAGGAAAGGAGAGGGAAAGGGAGGGGAAGGAAGGAAGGAAAAGAAAATCTGAGATCATTGAACTTGGGGTATTTTTGGAAATGTCCTTTGTGAAGGGGAAATAAAATCTTCCAAACTGAGAATTCTATGAAATCATCAGTCTGTAGCCTGTGCTGGGTGGGTGGGAATAATGTCAGTGCTCATCGCCACCTCCACCTGAGGGTGTCTGATAAGGATGGACACTAAGGGCACTTAGCATTTAATCTTGTCCAAGGTCGGGTGCTTGTTTTCATATTTTGTACTTACACTGTGCTCTCAAAAGCATTTTCTGTGATAAAAATAAAATCGCGTGCTATTTTTAAATGCCATCAGCAATGGTAATAGGCTGTAGCTGTGGTTACGATGGGGGGTTTGTGCAGAACGTGGCGGCCTGAGTGCACTGGCCTGCGTTCACATACAGCAAAGGGCATTAAGCTCTGCCTCCCTTTCCCTCCTAGATTCACAGTTTCCCATCAACATCGTGGCTGTCAAAAAAGACCATGATTTCCTTGAAAGGGACCTTGTAGAGCCTCTTTGCAGGTAAGTCGGACGAGTGAAGCACCTTTGACTTACGTTGCTTGCCTTGGTCTGTCTCTGTTTGGGTAGCACGAAGCTGAAGGTTGAGTTTAGCGACTTAGGAAACATTCACCGTGTGGCCACCGTCCCCAGACGTAGGTCCTGGTAATCTGAGCATGCTCGGTTCCTGTTTCTGTAGAGTTTCAATCCGAAGAGGGGGCTTTAGACATTAGATTAGGAAGAAGAGAGAGGAAGGGGAGGAGCGAGGAGAAGACAGAAGAGGAAAGAAGGGAAAGAGGGCTGGGTGTTTCGGGGTACGTTAAATGCCGTTTCAAAAACGTAACCTGAGATCAGAGCAGTGACTAGACAGCACAGATAGGTGGGGAAGGAGTTGGGTGGGCAGCCATCGCAAGCGACGTCTGAGACATCCTTTGTGTGTGTTCAACTTGACCTAGGCTTGTTCACTAAAGTCAAGTGGTTATATCTTCGAACTGGAACAGGTAAAGCTGAGTAAACCCAGCGGCAGATTGACGTATTTCAACCTTTATTATGTGATGAATCCTCTAAAGAGGCAAAGATGTCTGTGTGAAGGGTCCCCTTCCCTACACACCTCCCAGAGCAGTGGGAGAAGCCCAGGTGAAGAGATGGAGGTCTGAGCAAAAGAACAAATAAGTAACCATTGAACTTTGGTCAATACTTTTTAAAGCCAGTAGAATCTATAGTCTTAGGCAAATTCTGACATGAAAAGTTAACCGGGTCTGTAGAACGTTGCAGTTGCCTGGCTAACACTCTGGAAAGAGATCAGAGCTGGGGTAGATGTCAGCTGTGGTTCATTATCACTCTTCAGGAAGCGTAGAGAGGACTTGGAGATCCGGTGCTGGTGACCCTCAGTCCACGGCTCGCTCTTGAATTCCGGCATTTGATAAATAAGAGTATTTAAGAGGAAGTTAATGATGAGCACAGCGGAAATAATCTTAGGTTTGTCAGATCCCCAATATCTGTTTTTGTGTTCAGAGCTGCTCACTCCCTGTGTCCTATATGACGACAAAGTAGCTTTGTGTTAATGAATAGTCTCTGCTATTCACAAAGACAATCCTGTGTATCTGCTTAAGTTTGATGCATCAATCCTGTCAGTTAAAAGAGAAAAGAGGTCTTTGAATCATAAACACGGGAACTGGCTGGCCCAACAGGTTGAATGCCCTTGCTGCCAAGCGTAACTCTCTGAGTTCCATCCCTGGGACCCGCATGGTGGGAGGAGAGAACCAACTCCCAAAAATTGTCCTCCGACATCCACACATGCACTGTGGCATGGACACACACACACACACACACAAACAAAACCAACTTCCAAAAGTTGTCCTCTGACATCCACACATGCACTGTGGCATGGACACACACACACACACACACACACACACACACACACACACACACACACTCAAGTCATAGATCTAAATGGATGAGGGCCATTTAGGCTAGAAAACAAATAAGCACACAATGCCCTAACTCTGTGAGAGCCTGTGAGGTGAACGGATGATTTCCTTGGGATCCTTCAAAAGCTCTGACTTGGAAGAGCAGCATTTCCTTTAATCCTTCCAGAAGCCACACCTGCAGCGTGAACAGACCTTCTGACAAACGCTCATTCCACATAGGACAATCCAATTAGTGCCTCAGGCTGTTTTTCCTTTTGCTGTTGAGTACATACATTCCTGTTGGCTGACATTTAAAAAAAAAATTCCCGGGGCTAGAGAGATGGCTCAGAGGTTAAGAGCACCGACTGCTCTTCCAGAGGTCCCGAGTTCAATTCCCAGCACCCACATGGTGGCTCACAACCATCCGTAATGAGATCTGGCGCCCTCTTCAGTATACATAATAAATAAATAAATCTTAAAAAAAAAAATTCCTATTTTTAAAATTATATTTTACTATCTTTTTCCATTGAGTCTTCTAAATTTTGTTTTCTGTAAAATGACTTGTAGCATTATGTTTATACATGTGTATACACACATATGTATCTATTCAAAATGGACTGCTACTAGTATGTAATCAAGGTTTGGAAAAGCTCCATCTGCCGCCCCTGAAGGCCCCACATCCCCTGCGTCCTTCATGTCCACCCCAAACCCCGGCAACTACAGATGTTGCCTACAGTTTTGTCTCCATCAGGGCATCACAGATCTGGCGCGGGACAGTATATGGCTGTTTTGCCCGGCTCCTTTCCCTTGGTGCAATGTTCTTAAGATGAATTGGTGTTACTTTCCGTTTCAAAAATATACCCCTTTCCATTGTACGAACAGACTTCACGGTACCCAGTGTGACACTTGGACATTGATGTGTGTGGTTTAGTTTGAGCATAAATGTATATTTCTTTTCAATGAAATCTTAAGAATGAGGCTGTGGGGCTCATGACAAATCTGTTTTAACTTTATAAAGAGGCAGTGACTACTTCAAGTAACCCTGTTATTTTGTATTTCCAACAACATATGAGGGATCCAGTTATGTGGTCCTTTGTTAGTATGTTTTTGTTTTGCTCATGGACGTTTTAACAGTTGTCTGTCCATTATTGCGTTGTGACTTTTAATGTGCATTTTCTTAGTGACCAGTAAAACTACACATCTTTCCATGTCTTACCAACCTATCTTTTCCTGCAAAACATCTATTCAATCTTTTTCTCATTTCTAACTGAATGATGTTTATTGTGGAGCTTGGGGGAATGTTGTTGTTGTTACAAATACCTTTTTCCTCAGACAATGCATTTTGTCAATGTTTCCTGCCAGCCTGGAGATCCTCTTTGCAATGTCACAGAATGAGGGTTTTTTTTTTCCTAGCCAAGTTTATTTTGTCCACATTTTAAGAGTGTATCTAAAAATGTCTTTGCTTAAATAAGGTCTCAAGGACGTTACCCTGTGCTGTTTGAATCTGAGTTAAGTACGGGCCTGGGCCAAGAGTCATTCATTAGATTCATTGCGTGTCAACGTCTAATTGTTTCAACTCCCTGTTGAAAGGCCTGGACTGCCACCTTCCTCGGGTCACTTTGACGCGTGCCTGTGCACTTTTGTGTGTGAGGTGTGTGCCTATGGCACGTGTGCCACGGCGCTTGTGCAAAGGTAGAGGACAACTCGCAGGAGTCGGTTCTTTCTCCCACTTGTGGCGCTGGGGTTCTAATTCAGGCTGTTGCCCTCAGTGGCGAGCCTTTGCCCCCTGCGCCATCTCACTGGCCCTAAACATGTGTGTGGATCGGTAGTCAGTACATGTTTACAACAGCAAACTGTAGTTCACAGCCCAGGAAATGGTCTTGGTGATACCTAAGAATACGTCATTCTGCCCGTGCTGTTATTTTTACATCCCGTTTTTTATCACTAGAATGCCATTCTTATACTTCTTTTACATCCTGTAAAATCTTCTAGGCCGTTGTCTTCACTCTCGTGAGAAAGCATTTGGCTGGAGGGATATGAACCTCGGCTCTCAGGGTGCAGGAGCCGCGGGTAGAATGGAGGCCAGAGGAAGAGTCACACACCCTGGGTGGATCAAAGGAAGCGAAGAGTAGGTTGACAGCCAGAGGTGGCTGGCTGGAAAGCAACGGGGGCAGGGGGTTGCTTTTCTTCTCCTCCGCCTTGAGTTCCACACAGTCCAGATTCCCTGCCTTGCGAGCAGCGGGAAGCAGCAGCAGGTCTCCCACCAGAGAAGAATGGCGGTGCTCCTAAAACCTGGAGATTAATGAGCAGTTAATTAGAAACTTGCCTACTCAGAGGGTGAGTCTTGATTAATGCCGAGTGAACGGTAAGAGGTGAAATTCTCTCTCTCTCTCTCTCTCTCTCTCTCTCTCTCTCTCTCTCTCTCTCTCTCTCACACACACACACACACACACACACGCACACACACACACTTTGTGCACTGTATTCACAGAGATAGTGAATTTTCTACTCTTTTTTTGATTTTTGAAATTGCCTGTTTGTTTGTTTGTTTGTTTGTTTGTTGTGTGACAGGGGCACCACAGTGTGCATGTAGAAGCAGAGGACACATTTCAGGAGTTGCTGCTCTCCTCCCACGACATGGGTCTTGGGAACTGAACTTGGGCCCTCGGGCATGGCTGCAGGCACCTGTACCTGGCAGGCACCGTCTTGCCTACCCCTCTGCCTTATGTTTCAGCCTTTTTGAGCTGTATGGTTCTCAAGCTTGCTCGAAACGCTGAGGCCCTGCAGAATGGTGAAGGGAGTCAGCCAAAGGGAGCTCCCTCCAGGGAGACAGAGGCAGGCAGGAGAGCTGGAGTCGCCTGCAAAAGGGTATTCACCATAGGGGCGTTACTCGCCTGGGTAGACAAGCAGGTCATGTCTCGTGGCAGCTGCGTTCTTTCTGTGTGGCTGCAGGAACGCAGGCAGAGAGGGCCGCGTCCAGCAGGCTCCGTGAGGACAATTGCTGCCTGCTGCAGGCTGGAAGAGCCCCGTTTCCAGCACACAGCGGCCACTGTTACATGCAGCCACCGTTACACGCAGTCACCATTACACTTAGTTCTGTTTTCCTGCTCGGGACTGAACCGCGACTGAAAAGTCTCTGCCCCCACGTGTCATGAAAAGCTCATTGCAAATCCAGTTGTCTGTGTGAGCTGCTTGGAGCCCAGCTCTTTGGGACGCCTTGAGGACCCTGGAAGGTGTCAAAGGAGCTTGCCCAGTGTGTCCTTTGAGGCAGATCGCAGCTCTGGGGAGGTGAGACGCTCCCGCCTCACTGTTGGGCTGAAGGATTCACTGCAGCTGGGTGCGGACATAGGCCCGGATGCTCAGACATGACCTTTGAGCTCCTAAATTAATGTGAAGATAGTGACTCATTTGCATAACGTGTGTTGTTAATTGATGTTAATTAATTACGGTCGCTGACAAATGAGGGCACAAGCTGTGTTCACTGCCGTTTGGTGACGGAACTGGTTCTGACTGCCCAGTGCCGCTTCCCCTGTGTGTTTAAAAGGATGAGAAGTGATGAGGAGTCTCCAGAAGCAGGGAGCGGCGATGGGGTGATGCAGGGAGGAGGGCGGG